TTTATAGAAAATAAGAAATATGAATAAATTAAAAAAGATCCATATATTCATAATAATTATAATAAAATAATTTACAATAATGTTATACTTTATTTTTCATAGTGAAACCACGTATCAATCGTGACAAGCTGCAGACTATTAAAGTCAGAGCAGGCCAATTAGTAAAATTGGAGGTTGATATCGAAGGTGAACCTCCTCCAACTGTTACCTGGAGCTTCGCCGACGCTCTACTCCAAACCGGAGCAAATGTTAAAATCGATAACGAAGACTATCTCACTAAGATCCAGTTGACAAACACAAGTCGCAGATTAACTGGCAAATATACCATCAAAGCTGTAAACGATTCCGGACAAGATGAAGCTGACGTGGAGATTAATATTCTCGGTATATAAATAAAATTTGTCTATATTTCTTTTTAATTCAAATATCTGAAAAAAAAGATATTATTATAAAAAAGTATTACATTTTTTCACTCTAATATATATACCATGAAATAATGTTGTGTTGTACAATTTTGCCCGCTTCAGTGAAACCAAGGATTGACAGAACGAACCTGAAACCAATTGTTGTGCGAGCCGGCAAACCCGTCAAGTACGACGTGGACGTGCGCGGTGAACCACCACCGGAGATTAAGTGGTATCACGCCGGCAACGAGGTGAAATCCGCTGAGAACATTGAGATAGTCAACATTGATTACAATACAAAACTCACCATCTCCGATAGCCTACGGAAGAATACCGGCGTATGGAAGGTCAAGGCTGTCAATCCTCACGGCGAGGACGAGGCAGAGGTCGAAGTAACGATATTATGTGAGTGGCTTACACAAAAGTATCTCCTTTTTAAAATTATTTTTTAATATTAAAAAAAAATTTTTTTAAATTTAAATTATTTAAATTATTTAATTCTTATACATAGCTGCTCCCGGAAAGCCAAAAGGACCGCTCAAAGTGTCGGATGTCACGAAGAACGGTTGCAAACTCAAATGGGATAAGCCGGAGGACGATGGCGGCAAACCGGTCACTGGCTATCAAGTAGAAAAACTGGACAAATCGACCGGCAGATGGATACCCGTCGGTCGCACCGCGGATACCGAGATGGACATAAAGGGTCTTCAAGAAGGGCATGAGTACGAATTCAGAGTAAAGGCTTTGAATGAGGAAGGAGAATCGGAGCCGCTCGTGACAGACGGCTCCACGCTCGCGAAGAACCCTTACGGTAAATTTTTAATATTGTGTCAAATAAATGAGAAATTTTTGGATGGAATAAATTAATCGAAATATAAATTAATCAAGAATAAGATATTAAATATAATAAATTTACATTGAATATGATTTTCTTTCGACAGATGTCACAAGTAAACCCGGAACACCAGAACTGGAGGATTGGGACGTCGATCGCGTTGATCTTAAATGGGAACCTCCGAAAAACACCGGCGGTGCACCGATCACAGGCTATATCATTGAGAAGAAGGAGAAACCTTCCTCGCAGTGGGAGGAAGCTGCCGTTACGGACTCGCCACAACCCAAAGGTCGCGTTACCGGCTTGAAAAAAGGTTCCACTTATCAATTCCGTGTACGCGCTGTTAACAAGGCTGGACCATCGGAGCCCAGCGATCCGACCAAACCACACGTTGCTAAAGCAAGATTCCGTAAGTACTTTACTTTGTTAACTGGTTAATTGAAAGAGTAATTTCTAGGAATTATATATACATAAAATTCCACACATTTAATAATTATAAGTTGGAGATACAAAATTAAATTAAAACTTTATTATAATTTAATAATAAAATGTTCATTTCAAATTTAATTAATTTTAATTTCAAATTTTCTAATATAAATTAAAATTTGATTTATCTTTTACATTTTATAGAAAATAAGAAAATCGATAACGAAGACTATCTCACTAAGATCCAGTTGACAAACACAAGTCGCAGATTAACTGGCAAATATACCATCAAAGCTGTAAACGATTCCGGACAAGATGAAGCTGACGTGGAGATTAATATTCTCGGTATATAAATAAAATTTGTCTATATTTCTTTTTAATTCAAATATCTGAAAAAAAATCTTTTTTATATTTTTTAACTAAACAATAAACTTTTAGGATAAAAATTATTTTTATCCAAAAAAGAGGCGTAAATTATATAATATACATATATTTACATACATATAACTTTATATAATTTTAATTTATATTATATAATTTTAATTGATTTTAACAGACAAACCTGGAAAGCCGGAGGGACCATTGGAAGTGACGGACGTACACAAGGAGGGTTGCAAACTGAAATGGAGCAAGCCGAAGGACGACGGTGGTCTTCCTTTATCCAGTTACATAGTAGAAAAAATGGATGTGACGACAGGTCGGTGGGTACCGGCTGGTATTGTGGACCCTGAAAAAACCGAGCATACAATTACCGGCTTGGAACCCGGCCACAAATACGAATTCCGTGTGAAGGCTGTGAATGAGGAGGGTGAATCGGAACCTCTGCAAAGCGATGTCGCCATCGTAGCCAAGAATCCATACGGTATAGTATTATAATCTTCATTATAATGTTCGTATTTATTTTTACATATAATTCTATTCTGGATTAAATATAATTTTAGATACACTATAACTTATGTGTAGTATACTCTGTGTTTTACTGGTAGTACAATTTATAAATAGTAACTGTTTTCTATAATTATAATATTACAGATAATATATTATTCTCTTTCC